AGCGGGTGCCGGAAACGAGAAGGTTCTGTGGGGTGGCCCAAGACAGGGGGTGGCCCAACTCGGGGTGGGTCGACTTAACACCAAGCCACCACCCCTTCTTTCCCCGGGTCGCGTCTTCCTGCCCCTCCAAGCCTTCTCCCAGGTCTGGTCGTAACACAGCATCAGTCGATAAAAATATCCCTAGGCTATGGTTTCAATAATTGCGGAATCACCCCCAGGCTGCACCGGATGCTCGCGCGCCACCCGCTTAATAAGTTCCTCATATTCCGGGCTCCTCGGAAAAATGTGAAACTTGAAGTTGTTCGTATACCTGTAAGTTGTCAGATCGGTTTTTGTTCAGTCGAGGATGGCCGAAAGCGAGGATAATGAGACCGAGGGAATGCCAAAAACAGTTCGGGAACCACCAGGGGCCGGTACGGCACTAGCGGTTTTTTGGTTTTTTGGTTTTTTGCCCCACTTCGTCCCAAAATATCTCAACACCCAGCAACGGGATGGAAAAAACAAATTAATATGTATACGGTTTAAAATAATAAAGATTCTTTTTATAAGCTTCATTTTTATGTCGGGCTTTTCAATCTCGAGAAAAATTTTGGCAAAAAACCAAAAAACCGATAAACCGCTAGTGCCGTACAGGCCCCAGGTATTTTGGGGAACGGCGATGACTGAAACTCCCCGCAACAAAGGGACGCGGCTGAACAAAGCTGCGAAAAGCATACTTACATGATAGGACCGGGTGTCGGATGGAAGCCGTCTACGCCGTCGGACTTTCGCCCTTTTCCCGCCGCCAATCTGGTGATGTTAAACGCCGCCAGGATCTGGGCCATGTTGAGGAAGAGGAGGTTGTTGGCAAAGTGGCGGCCGGGGCAAATCCTGCGCCCGTAGCCATACACGCCGCCCTTTGTGGGGTCGGGCTCGTCGCGGGCCGGGTCTGCGAAGCGCTCCGGGTCGAAGCGGGCCGGGTCCGGGTAAACAGTCGGGTCGTGCATAAACCACCATACGGCCGGCATAATGGTAGCGCCATCGGGGATGCGGAGGCCGCGGTACTCGATCTCCTCGTCGGCCCGGTGCGGCATGCCCATAGGGAAGATACTCCACCACCGCAGCGTCTCCTTAACGATGGCGTCGACGTAGGGCAGGCGCTCCCGGTCTGCCGAGGTCGGGAAGCGGCCACGCCTGATCACGCGGTCGATTTCGGCCTGCGCCTTGCGCTGCACGTCCGGGTACTTAAGCATTGCCAGCGTGAAGGCGGCCAGCGAAATGGAGGTTGTGTCGACCGCGGCGCCGAACAGGCTCGCGGCAGCCCAAACGATGAGATTTTCATCCTCGGGGGCGATCTTGCCATCCGTCCCCTTCACCTCGGACCTTTGGATAAGGAGCGACATCATGCAGTTGCTGTCGATGCCGTACGCGAGCTGGTGCTGAACAAACCGGTAGGGCAGGTGGGCCATGTTGTTTAGGGTCTCCCTGTACGCCTTAGCCTTTTTTTTGAAGGAGGCGCCGGGGAACCAGTCAGGGATGTGCTTCAGGAAGGACATAAAATCCACGGCCCATGAGAAGGGCTTCCCGACCTCAGCAAACTCCGCCATAGCCTGTAAGGCATTGTTAAGTACTGGATCCGGTCCTGTAGGGTTTACGGTATAGCCATATGTTGATTTAAGGGTGGTAACTGAAGCGGTTCTGGTGAGGGCGTCAGTTATTTGGGGCTCGCCATTTTCCCCGAAAGACGTGTCCCGCCCTCAACTCACTTCTGGTAGTGACGCAGCAGATTTTGAGGGTCGTTTAGGATCCTCTCTAGTTGGCGGCTGACCTCGACCTCTTGGGCTTTGTGGTAATGCACAGCGGACGCCGCAGTACCGATGGCGCCATGGAGCAGTGCGCGTTTCTGACGGAAGGCAGCGTTGTATCTGCCAAAGACGACAGAGTTTTCGTAACCAACGAGGTCCTGGGCGAAGGGCATGATCGGACGGCCCGAAGTCTTGGAGGCGGCGCCTTTCCGCTCGAGAAGATCGAGCGCCACCTCCGGGTCGTGGATTATAACTAGCGTGTGGCCCATGATGGTGACGGAGCTGATCGGCCCGTACTTGTCCTTGTGCGACAGCCAATGGGTGTACTCGATCACGCCTAGCTTTGGCATATCACTAATATTCCCCAAAAGCGGGACCGGCTTCGGGCCGGGTGGGAGGGGAAGCGTAGGGCGAAGATCCCAGGCCATCGAGACAACCCAGCGATAAGCGGCATAGGCGGTGACCGGGATGGCCACAAGGGCCCAAATCTGAAACGGAAGGACCGCCAGCAACATCCTGCAGTCTATAAAAACCAAAAATAGACACGGCAAAGTTCAAAATGGATGATGTGGCACGAGACAAAGACCAGGCGAACCCAAGCCTCATCCCTCCTAGGGAGAAAGCGGTAATTATAACGTGGAAATTACTGCCCACAACGGGTGGCTTCCTCCGTTGGAATTTGAATACGCTGGTAAGCAATTCGAAGCTGAACGAGAAGGGGAGCGTGGTGAATTCTTGATAGTAAATGGAGATGCTACCGGCTCTTTTATTGCCACGGGTGGGAAACTGAAGTACGGAGCTGTCGGTAAATTAGGGCCTTTTATAGCAGCGGCAAGGAAAAGTAACACCATACAGACCGTTAGCGAGAAGTTTCTATAACAAACGGATTCTAACGGACATAGCACTACTCGATCGATTACCAAAAGCCATAAATTGAGCTTTGGAAATACGGCGCATCCAGCTCTTCTTAATTGCTACGGTCCGGCAGTAGGAGCCTCCATCCGCTTGCTACCAAAAGAACAACTAAGCCAAAGTCGACACTTTGGCTCAATTGGAGGCTCAAGTACCCTCTGTGAGGCAAGGCTGCACGAGAGGGCACGCCACGCCGTAACATTGATGTGGGATAGGGGCGAGGTACGCAGGTTTGCAAGTTGGCCGTTGCAGCTACTTTGAAATAGGGCAAGTAGATCTTGTGAGAGCCAATGAGGGGATCTTTGAAGTGGTTTGGTAAAGTCTCGATGATGTGTGGGAAGAGATCCCCGCCGGAGGCGGAGGCACGGCGATGTTATGGCGCGGCGCGCCCTCACGGGCTGCCGCTCCACTATTGCCTGGAGTCACGTGATGGCGCGCAACCCCAAAAGGGTCTGCACGCGTCGAGGGTGCTCCGCACCATCTTTGACTTTTTCACTACTTTGTTCTTTTAGCTTTTTAGGTGTTAATATCGAGCCTTTGTGCCGTGCTTTTCTGTCAGAGGTGGCCTGGAGTCACGTGGGTGGCAACTAGTGCCCCACAGCTCTAGGCCTCGCACCGGCCACTAGCCCGCGATTGAGTAGAGTAGCCCAGTAGACAACAAAAATCACTTGGGTGCCAGTCGTCGCGCACCTCCATCATTTTCCCTTCCGCGACAGGCGACTGCAGAGGTAAAGCCTCTGCAGCCCCACTATCTAGCCCTGGGTCACGGGCCCACAATTGGCACTGGCCTGTGAGGCAGGCCGTGCCAACAGTGGATCCCCTCTGCCCATGACAGATCTCCCATTAGCTACTAAAGAATCACTCCTCTGGAGGTGCAAGCTTTCCTAAGCGACGCCATTTCACCTTTGTTCTCTTAGGGCTATCCGCCAGAAATTACTTTCCAAGCACCTGTTATGGCGTGGCGGGCCCTTGCGGACTTCGAGCCATTTGCCCTACCGCAGAGAGGAGTCACATGATCGGAGGTCATGTGACGCCACTCATTGACAAAAGGCATTCGCGTGGCTCTGGTGCAATGCGCCGTTTTCTACTTTTTATAACACCCCAGAGATGTCGGGCATCTCAGCCCATGCTCAGCCTGGCGGCACGAGCACGAGCCGGTGCCAGCTTGGCGGAATGAGCGCGAGTCGCTCCCCAGCCATGTTGAAACTCCGGGAGAGTTCCACAGCGCGGGATCCAGGACGCGGGCCGCCCCTTGGCCGTATCCAAGCGTCTGGGAAGGTCCACAGCGTGGTGGCCAGAGGCCACTACGGCATCATGTATATCTAGGGCCTGCAAGACTCTCTGTAAATGAGTTTGGAGGGCAAGCAACCGTTTCTGTTTCTGTTTTTTCTGTGGAGTGCTGCCAGGCACTTTTGCTGAATACACCACTGCCCTGCACGCTTTCTTTAGACCGTTGGGTAACCTGAACCTCTGAGACCTCCCAGCGAGAACCCCTTTGTTATGGCGCGGCGTGCCCTTACGGGCAGTCGCCCCACAGAGCCCAGATCACGTGACCTCGCGTGCAACAGTGCACGCGTACGCACAAAACAGATCGCACGCATCTGGGTGCTCCGCACCACTTGTTGACTTTCCCACCACTTTGTTCTTTTAGCTGAATTGACGTATTTCCTCTAGCGTTTGAGCCGTAGAGATCTCAACCGTAACACCCTTCCTGTGTACAGCACCTTACATTCTAGTTGCAATGCGAAATATCTAAAAGCTGTCCCATTTTCTAAATACAAGAAAGGGTCGTACAACGGCCCTCTGCTCCCGTTTTATAGAGGGACCATAACATAACGCGGACGCGTTGCTCGGGGCGCTCCGCGCCGAATGCGGAGGCCACACGGCCACGTGCACGGTCCGGTGTGTTGTCCGTCCGGCTCCAGTATGGAGTCCGAATCTAAAGCGCGAAGTCTTCCGGACCAAAGTTTTCCTGGCCTTGGACGTCATTTCCTGTGCGGCCACGAAGTGCCTTTCCAACAATTAGTCTGGCCGTAACAACGTTTCAGCCGCAGTTTTAAATGCTTTCATTCAACGGCTGTTGTCACTTTCGGAGGTGGGTAGATCGTTTCCTGTATATTTTATCAGCATGGCCCTATTATAAGTGGGTGGTTTCCTTACAAAATCGCTTGGTAGTAGTGGTAGGGCTTTTTTGTTAGAGCGAAAAACAAAATGTTGACGTCTAGAGGACGTTGATATCGAAAAATAAACCTCTGCATTATACATTTGGTGGAGGTGAAGCCCGGTCTTTACTAAAGTTTTCCATCTCTTACTTAAATTTTCGCTCGTTCTGTTTTTTCTCCGCTTGCTTGAAGCAGATGGCTGTGAGTTGGAGCATTGGTTTGGTAAGTTTATCACTTGGGACGCGAGGTCTGTAAACAGCGTAGCGTTTTCGTTGCGCGGAAGCTGGTCCATACTTCAAAAAAAGGCTCGCAGATTGAAAGTTTCAGTACCTTTTTAGATATGGGAATGCAGCCCTGTTGCATGCGCCGAGCTAATAGTCTTATTCTTATAGTACTGCCATTATTATAATCGCAATCAATTTTATTACGTTAACCATAAGTAGTGTTAAAAGCTAATAAAGGCTACTATTCTATTTATCTAATTAATGCGACGGTCCCGCCATACGTCTAGTGTTACCGCCATAGATGTGGGGCATATATGGGGCAGACACAGGCATGCAAGCCACACGGATCGCGACAACTTCAGGCGCAGGTCACACAGGCGCGACTAGCGCCTTTTCCTTCCCCTCTCCTTAGTGTTAAATCTTCGTTCATAGCGCCAATGCAAGGCCTTCGTGCCTCCATTAGTCTGGCTATAACAGGAGGCTCCTCCAGCCGAACCGTAACGGCTTTCTGATTGTGATAGGAGTCTCATACACCCAGCGCACACCAAGACAGGGCTGCAGTGTACATCAGGGCACGCCACGCCCTAACACCTGTATCTAGAACATCTGAAGTCGCTAGTGTCAGCCGCAAGGCACTCTGGATCGGCTGCAAGGCATTCTCTCTAAAGGATCTACAGGGCTCATGTACTATAAGGGCAGCCTGTGGCACAGAACCTCTAGAGAGGTAGAGGGAGAATACACAATAATCTTGGTGCTGAAGAAGTCTGACAGCTAGCATGTCTAATGCCCCTAGGAAGGCCAGAGTGAGGCAGCGCTCGCTACAGACGTTAAATAAACCTAACCTAACCTAACTTAACCTATAAGGAGGTAGTGGTATCCGTGATCTTGGATTCTCGCTTACAAAGGCTTTAAATGAATGGTCTAAATTTTCTTCTACATTGGAATCTTTCCAAGGCCTTCTTTCGATTGGCAGCCGTTCTTCAGAAAGCCTATCATTTATAAGTGCCCCACATAACTGACTCGCTTGCCTTAAATATTCAAATAATTTTTCCCTTGCCTCTGGAGATTCATGCTCCCTTATGAATTCGTTGATATTCTGCGGTGTTTGCAGTTCTTCCGGAATAGCACATAGTACAGTAGATTCCACATCACTTCCTTCTTCATTATTAGGATTTAAATCTTTCCACGCCTTGCATAATCTGTGCCATATTTCGCACTCTTCTCGCATTTTCTTGTTGCTTGAACTTAAGGACTCTTGGTTCTCCGTGCGTTCATAAAACAGTACTTTATGATACCGCTGGTAAAACACACCAAGCTTGCTTCCATTACGAATACATTCATATAATCTAGTAATATCTGCTTTTCCCAAGCCATGAGTGGACCGGT